ATCGGGGGACTTTCTGAGTCCATAGAAAGTCAACTGTTGAAACAGCCTCCCGGAAAATTGGGTTTGTTAATGCGAGAAACTTCCACTTCCACTGTTATCTGGCTAACAGCTCCGCTAGGTGTTTCTCGATATTTACTGTGCTTTGTTTGTTGTTTTGCTGCGCGCGTCCTTTGCGCTCACGCATTTGGAGTGGTTGCGCGCTTTTTGAGGTCCTTTGTATATGGTTAATGCGCTTGAACTAGCAGTTACTTATGCATAGTGTTTTGGAAGTTATTGACGTGGTATCATAGCCGAGAATTTTTGGTTTTTTAGTTTTGATAACATTTATTTTCTTCTTCCATTCTCCCTGTTCGGTTAATGAATTTGCAAATAGTTTTCGTGTTGAAATTTAGTATTATTTGGTTTAAGGGAATATGTGTTGATTGGAAGATTTCTTGCCTGATGTGGGAGTAAGCGGGACAATCCGCCATGAAGTGTTCCGTGGTCTCTCTTGTTCCTGGGCAGTGTTTACAGAATGGAATTACGTTCCTGTCCATCTTATTTTCATGGTGTGCTAGATGGTTTTGTCCTGAAATAATACCTGTTATGTTTTTTAGGTCTGCTTTGATGTGGTGGGCAATTTTTGGTGGTTTATCTTTAAGGTAGCTTTTGAGTAAGATTTTGTTACTTATTTTTATTTTACTTTCCTGAATCGATTTTGATCTTTTGTTCAGCATTTGTGTTCCTAGTTTGTGTCTTATTATCGAGTCTGGTAAGTATAGGAATGGTTCTGGTCCTATTGGTTTACTTTCCGCACCTCTTTTAGCCAATGTATCAGCTGTTTCATTGCCTATAATTCCTATGTGGGCTCTTACTTTGTATAAAGTGACTTCTTTGTATTTTAGTTGAAGGTCTTTTATGTTGTTTATTGTTTCAATTGTTAATTTTGAGTTTGAATCAAGTTTATTTAGTCTTTGGATCGAGTTCAGGGAATCTGTGAAGATCTTTACTGAGTTGGCTTGACTGGTATCATTTTTCAGGAAGGCTGCAGCTTCACAGATGGCGTACATTTCAGCTTGGTTGATGGTCGCCATTGTGCCTAATGAGCAGTGTTTATGCAATAGATCAGTTTGTTCTTTGCGAATGTAGATGCCCGCTCCTGCTTGTTTTCCTTCTTTAGTGTCTATGACTGATCCATCTGTGAATATTTGAATCGTGTTCTCTTCTGGCTCGCATAGTTTTGGGTCGTTGATTTCCTCTTCTGATATGGTGAAACTTCTTACGATGTTTTGTGGTTGAGTCTGTTCATTTAGAGGACTGTCCAGATAATATTTCAGAGGTTGAATTTCTTTGTCAAGTTGTCTGGCATGTGAGATATAGGATTTCTTACATCCCAGGTTGGTGTCCGGGTACCAGCATTTGTTCGTGTATAATCTTAATGCTGTTTTTGTTGCGATGTTATGTAATTTAATTTCAATAGGCATAATGCCTGCTAGGCTGTCCAGTGTAATTTTCGGAGTGGTGGAGAAACCTCCCGTTATTTGAAGTGTTGCAAATTTTTGTACTTTTTCTAGCATGTGCAGCAGTTGATTTACATTCTTCATTCGGTGGATCCAGAGGAAGCAAGCGTATCCTAGTGTGGGGAGGATAACTTGGTTATAGATCCATCTCATTCTAGGGGGGGATACTCCCCATGTTTTACCGATGTAAGATTTGCAGGCCATTAGAAGTTTCATTGCTGCATTGGTTTTTTGTTTTATGTGAACATTCCATCTGAGGTGTTTGTCCAGTGTGACTCCCAGGTATTTTACCTCTTTTTCCACTTTGAAAGTAGAGTTTCCCAGGGTTATTGGTTCAAATTTGTATTTTTTGTTGATTGGTGAGAATATAATTGTGGTAGTTTTCAGAATGCTGAGTTTTACACCGTTTTCGTTACACCATCTGTTGATTGTTTTTAGATAATGTTTAGCTATATCTCTCATGGTGAGAGATATGTCAATACCTTTTATTATTATCGCTAGGTCATCTGCAAATGCTTGCAGGAAGTCTGGGTTTAGATCGTCCCTTTCGAGAAGTGTGTTCAGGGTTAGGTTCCAGAGGAGGGGTGATAGGATGGCTCCTTGAGGACAACCTCTGAAGATGTTTCTTTTGATTGTTCTGCCTTGTAGTTCTAGAGTGATTTCTCGGTTTGAGAGCATGTAGTAAATCCAGTTTATAATTGTTTTGGGGATTTCTATTTTTAGCATCGCATTTCGGATTGAGTTGAATTTTAATTTGTCGAATGCGGATTCTATATCCAGGAATATTCCGAGTGCGTATTGTCCGTTTGCTATCGCATCTTCAATCCGTCTAGTCAGTTTGTGAAGGGCAGCTTCGGTCCCCTTTCTTTTCCTGAATCCATATTGATTTTTTGTCAGTCTTTTGTCGATTTTCACTTTTTCTTCTAGATATATAAGAATGATTTTTTTCTAGAAGTTTTTGTACATTGGATGTCAGGCTGATGATTCTGAATGCTCTTGGGTTGGAGTAATCATCTTTGAATGGTTTTGCTAATATAATGCTTCCGTTTTTGTTCCAGGCTTTTGGGGAGCGAGCAGTCTCCAGACATTGTTTGAATATGTGTAAGAGTGGGTCTTTCAGTAAGTCTTTACAGTGGATTATCATCTCGTTTCTAATTTTGTCGGGTCCTGGTGCTTTTTTAGGCTGTAGAGAGCTGATAGCTTTCTTATAGGCACATTCATTGATGATTTCTCCTGAGATGTTTTCTTGGTGTTGGAGAGGGTTAAGTAAATCTTCATTTGATATGGGGAAGTGGTGATTTGCAAAGTAACCTAGCGTTTCCTCTGACGTTTTTGTGAATTCTCCGTTTTCTTTTTTCAAAGTATGGAGTATCTCCCAGTCCTTTTGTTTAGGTTTGGGGAATTTAGCAAGCTTTTTCTTGCTCTTCTCCTCTGAGCAGAAGTCTCTCCAGCCCTGTCTTTCTACATTTTGGATTTCTCTTCTATAGTCTCTTTCTTGAGTTGTCAGTTCTTGTCTGAGTTTTGGTTGTTCTGGATTCCGGAGGGTTTTGTTTTTCGCTTTCTTGGTATTAATTTTCAGTTTTTCTAGGTTATCGTTCCACGGTGTTTTGGATTTATGGATGATTTTGGTCCGGGGGCAGATTTCATCAAGTGTCTTTTGTAGGATGTTGTTAATGAAATTCATATTTTTATCGAGAGATCCAGGTTTTGTTTTGTAGTTGAAGGGATTCTCCTTTAGCTTAGATTCAACTTTGGTTCTGAAGTCGTTCCAGTTTGCTTTCTCGTAGCATCTTCTGTAGCTGGTTTTGTTGTTTCCTAGATCGACTTGGAAACTGATCAGTTTGTGGTCTGATAGCGATACTTCTTCGTGGACTTTCCAGTTTTTTATGAGGTTGTTTGAGAAGTTATTTGTCATGGTGATGTCTATTCTGCTTTTGTGACCTCGAGTGTTCACGAAGGTGGGTGAGTTCCCTGTGTTTTGTATTTTTAGATCTAGTTCATTGATGAGGTTACTGATGATCCTTCCTCTTTCCGTTTCTTTGTAGCTATTCCAAAGAGTGTGGTGGCCGTTGGAGTCAGATCCCAGTATGAGGGGGATATTGTTCTGTTTTGCATAGATGGTTAGTTCCTTGAATTTATTGAGGGTAGATGGTTCAATTTTTTGTTCGTTCTTCTCTAGGGCCATATAAATTGAAGTGAATATAACTCCTTTCTTTGATATGATGTTGGATTTGACAGTTATTATGTCTCTATTTGAGAAGTTCCCCATAATGAATGATAATTTGCTTAGTTCTAGTGGTAGCAGGATGGCGGCTCTTGGTGTTTTCTCATGGCAGTAAGCACTGAAAGCCTTATGAGTAGTTGGAACGAAGCATATTTTGTTTTTAACAGCGTAAGGCTCTTGTGTTAACATGATTTCGTATGGTGATAGTTCCTGGTAGTAATTCATGCAAGCGACTTTTTTCTTTTGTAGATTAATTTGTTTAACGTTAGTAAAGTAGCTTTCCTTACCTTTCTCTTTAGTTGAGGGATTGACATTCTGGCGTTGGGAAACTCTCTTCTTATTCTGAGGGGTTTTGCCGTTTAAGTTATACGCATCGGTACGTGCGGTTCGTTTTCCCATTTTGGGATTTATTCGGGGGTTTTGGGTCTACTGTCCGTAGCGGAATATCGAATTTTGATCTACTGTCCGTAGCGGAAAATCGAATTTAGTTCTACTGTCCGTAGCGGAATAACGTATACTTACCGGGGAAGAGAGGGAGTAGCAGTCTATTGTGAGTTGCTTTAGTCGGGTACAAACTGAGAATCGACTGTCGTCACTGAAACAAGGAGCAAGAGTGGAGGTTTTCGCGCTCAGATGCGTTTCTGCTCTGATGGAGATTGCTTGCGGAGGTTTTTCATTTTTGGATCATTTGTCAAGGTGCGCGGCGCTACCTTGTTGTGCGCGTTAGAGATGGGGTATTTTTAAAAAGAGATTTTATGGTGTTGTGTTGTTATTATTATTTTTCTTAGAAGAGTCAGTGTTTTGATTTCTGTTCCTGCTTGTTTACTTTTTCCTGCTTAGTTTAGAGATAGGTGGAGTTTTGGCTCGTTGCGAAAAATGTGAGACTTTACTTTTTTATGTTTTCATTTTGAGGCTGTCGGCTTATCTGTTATCGTTGATAGAAGATGCAGACGACACAGACGTAGGGTTTTATTCTTTTAGTTGTACTTGTTTGTACGCTTAAGTTGTAAGTTTTGGATTCAACGGTTTAGTTTCATTCACGTTGTTTTGGACAAGTGAGATAGAATTCTGGAGTCATGAAGTATAAATCAGAAGTAATACCATAGGTTAAAAATTAAAAGTTAAAATTTTCTTAAAAATCTTCAATTGTTATGTTCAAGAAAGTGAATATTCCCTTTAAAAACAAGTTCAAATTCCAAAACAGTTTGGTACAGGAGGAATATTTTAGATTTACTGCCCCCATTGCTCAGTCTCTATTTTATTTCGGTTTATGCGCTTTATCTGGGTGAAGTTGTGATGTCGTCGTTCTTCTTATCAGCAGATATTTGGAGATCCTGGTCCGTCTTTTCTTGTAGTTCTTGTTCTGTTACTGTGTCCACCTGGGTTTGTGTTTTGTTATTTAAATTTTTAAATTTTGTTGTAGTTAACATGGTAAATCGGGCGTTTTAAGTGATTTTCTCTGAACTTTAGTGGGTAGTGAGGGACAAACCTTCGTTTCAATCCTGGCCCCTGGGAGAGAGCAGAGGTATGGGTCTCGTGTTGCTTTCAGACGGAATTCAACGCTTTCTATCCTTTTAGCGCCTACATGTAGGATAGTAAAGGGGTTCCCATTCTTTTTAACTGCCCATACTGGGGGTCGTTCAGTGCCAAAATCGTTGGGACTCATAAATTTACCTGATGGACAAGGGTGTGAGTTTTTTGGTATTAGGTAGGGTGTGAGCTATTGAGGTATTTGAATTCTTGGAAGTTTACGATTTTGAAATCGACATCCTGAATTTTCAGTTTTTAGAGGGACTTACCGAGTGACCCGTTTAGGAGTACTTGAATTGACGCTTTGTCCTTTAGAAAAGTTTCCGGACAATCCCCGTTTATGTACATTTTGATTCTCGTTATCTGTGGAGTGATGTCTATAGCCGGAGAAAAGAAGTTCCACTGGTTGTTGAGCTTTGTGATGAGCTCCTGCATCAGTCTGGCGGATTTCTCGTCTATCAAGTCTAGTTTCAGTGATCTAGCACCCGGAACATTCACTGTGTCCTTTATCTTGATTTCTTGATTTTCGGGGGCGAGCTGAAAGGTTTTGTGAGAGTGGGGATGGCTTTCTTATTAACTTGAGATTTGAAGGTTGTACGCTTGATTTTAGTTGAGTTTTGTTGAAAGAATCAAATTCACTAAAGTTTGTGGGTACTAACCGCTTTTTCTAAAATGATTCCTCTCATTCTCTTGAAATCCGGTTTTTCTAATTTTAGGTATGTTTCATGGAATAAGAATAGCACTATCTTTCTGGATCCGGCGGAGTTCGATTCAGTCTGCTTGTCCCTTTCCGCCCTTTCAATAGCAGTAAGTTTGGGTTTCGGGGCGTTATTGCCCTCACTGTTCCGTTTCCTCTTGTTGTTGAACATGTTACCTGAGTAGTTAGAAGTTTGAATTTTACATTGTGGATGATGTATATGGACACGTTCATTGAAGTTTGAGGATATTGGTAAATATTAGTGACCCTACTAAATGGCACGATGATGTAAAATGTGTCACACTATAAAACTATATAAACCCTCAATGGTTAGGATAATCGTTTCATCCTCTAGATAAACTTTGTCGCATAACGATATCTTTATCAGACGATAAGATATCGCTTAAATGCGGCCGGCAGTGAGTTGTAAACTTTGTCACACTATAAAAATGTGACAGAGTTTATATGGACCCCTTGTTGCCGTGTTTGACCAATTTTTCGAATTTCAAATTTATAGGATAGTTGCATATGACTATTATCTACATATTTAGCGACTTTTTCGTTAAATGGTAGCACCATGTAAACTCCGTCACACATTTATGAAATTTATATGAGGGATGTTTATGACATCCTGACAAGAAATGCCGAATAGTCTAGCATTATTTTGTGAGCTGAATGTGTTTGGAATTGTTCACATATTTCATTGTTATAGGCAAATACAAATACAGAAGGCAGAAATAGGTAAATTTAGTCACATAAATTTGTATGATATCTCAACATGTGTGAAATTGAGTAAATATTAGTATACCAACTTAAACACCCTATATTACGTACTATGGATCAATTAACAATATTTCAACCATACGCCGGTCATATAAATTATTATATGGCAGTGATATGTTAACATTGGCAATATTTCAACACCTGAACAGGGTAAAAATTTGTAAATTTCGTCACAAAAAAAATATTATAACTTTATTTGCTCCGTGTTGGCAAAATAACTAATTTATCGACATAGTGATGGTGATAAAGTAGCATTATATACTAATTGAGGTATGATTCTTCAAAATAGGGGCAAGAAATGTAAATTTCGTCACATCAGCCATAGCATTAGTTAGATAGATTTTCTTTCATATCAACTGCCCTTATTATAGCTAGAGCCTAGAATGGATTTATACAGAAAATATAGAAACCCATGCCCATTTTTTATCACATTGAAATTATACTGTTGGGGCAGGAAAAGTAAATTTCGTCACATTTCGGTAAATTAGTGATATCAAACTCAGCATTGTTAAACTTGGGTTCTGATTTGCTGAAAAATAACCAACCAATAATTCCTGGAAGAAAATTGAATTTTAACTGAGGTATGGTTCTTTAAAATAGGGTCAAGAAATGTAAATTTCGTCACATACGTAATTTTAAAATTTAGATAGATTTTATTTCCTACCAATAGTCCTTATTATAGTCGGAATGGATTTATACAAGAAATGTAGAAACCCATGCCAATTTTTCATCACATTGAAACTATACTGTTGGGGCAGGAAAAGTGAATTTCGTCACATTTCAATAACTTAGTAAAATTAAACTCAGCATTGTTAAACTTGAGTTCTAATTTGCTGAACAATAACCAACCAATAATTCCTGGAAGAAAATTGAGTTTTAACCGAGGTATGGTTCTTCAAAATAGGGGCAAAAAATGTAAATTTTGTCACATACGTCATTTTAAAATTTAGATAGATTTTATTTCATATCAATAGTCCTTATTATAGTTAGAATGGATTTATACAGGAAATATAGAAACCCATGCCAATTTTTCATCACATTGAAATTATACTGTTGGGGCAGGAAAAGTAAATTTCGTCACATTTCAGTAACTTAGTGAAATTAAACTCAGCATTGTTAAACTTGAGTTCTATTTTGCTAAACAATAACCAACCAATAATTCCTGGAAGAACATTGAATTCTAACCGAGGTATGGTTCTTCAAAATAGGGTCAAGAAACGTAAATTTCGTCACATACGAGTACGTCATTGTAAAATTTAGATACAATTTCTTTCACGTGAACAGTCCTAATTACAGTCCGAAATGATTAATACAGAGATACAGGAAATATAAAAACCCCTGCCCATTTTATAATGTATGTAATATGTTAATCACAGACTATTTCATTCTATAATCATTGTTTCCAAATTTAACCTATTTATGATGTCTTATCATTTTGTGACGATGTTCACATCAACTGTCCTATACTTGAATCTAACTGTATCCGTGTATCGTCCTTATATAGAGTTTTCCCGCAAAATTTAACTTATTTACGATGTCGTATCATTTTGTGACGATGTTTACATCAACTGCCCTATACTTGAATCAACTGTATCCGTGTATCGTCCTTATATAGAGTTTTCCCCGCAAAATGTAACCTATTTACGATGTCGTATCATTTTGTGACGATGTTTACATCAACTGCCCTATACTTGAATCAACTGTATCCGTGTATCGTCCTTATATAGAGTTTTCCCGCCTTCCAAACCAAAATCAGATATAAATGATTTCGGAAATTCACCCAGAATTTCAAATTCCATATAATGTGACAGAATTTACATCATTTCCCAATAACCAAGTGCATGTATTAGCTAACTTTTCAAAACAACATATTTTAGGGCTATGATTGGCAGAAGAACCATCAAATAATGAGTTGAAAGGGTTTTGAGGACACCTCACAGTAGAAAAGAGGTCTCGTATTCTGAGTGTGACAAAGTTTACGAAATATTGCCTTAAAGCCGTTCGATCCGTGCCCTTTAACCAATGTTGTATCATAATTGTTAGATTGACCTAATCTACTATATTTCAGACCAAGGAATGATAATTGGGCAGCTATGGTAAACAATGTCACAAAAATGTGACATTTTTTACATTATAGTGCCTAAAAGCAATACATTTTATTTCTGAGCAGTGCATATGGAAGTATGGGTCACGTGGCTAATGTTCAGAACTTATGAACACGCTAGATTAATAGATGCTAAAATTAAGCCACTATCGTCGAAAACGCTATTTTAGAAATTTACCAATATCCTCAAACTTCAATGAACGTGTCCATATAGTGATCGAGGTTTAAATTACAACTGCTGTTCCAATCTGTTGGAAAGGCTATAACGGAAAAGGTCGTGCGATATTCGTTTAGCTACGACTAAAGTGTCCGCTATGATACTACTGAGAAATTAGAGACGGTGGGGAAGTTTATCATATAGGCTGGCACTAAGAAACGAAACGACTGTTAAGAATTCGAAGTAATAATAAGGTGTATTATCTGAGAAAGTTTTCATATACGCTGGTGCAATAGTACGTAACGAGATAAGAGATAAATTGAAATGAACGATTTGTTTTACCGAGATTGGTGTAACTGGTTGCGGATTTAAGTCGAGTTAATTAGCCGTGTGTGACTGTCTAGAAATCGTGGTTACTTCAATCTCTTCTGTCTGGCTTCCACTGCGGGGTTAAGTGTAAGATGGGGTTATTCATTGCGTCTTACACGGAGTGTGGATGTATGGATCAAATCGCTTGAGTGGGTGCTAATGTTATGTTATCTGTTGGTAGTTGTCTCGTGTTGATCACGTGATTTGTTTGGTCGCGCGCGCATCAGTTTGGTGAGAAATTAGTGTCTTTCTTCACTATTTATGTTTTTATCCGCGCGTTCCGTTTTTTCGGTAGACCCCTTTTGCTGTTCTCTCTGTTTATTGACGAGCTATTGTACTGTTTTGGCATTTGTGGGTTTTAGGTACCATTTGTCCATGGCTGGGTCGTTTTGATATTCTACTGTCCGTAGCGGAAAAGAGCTTGCCGGGCTCCTGTGTGAGTGAGGTGGAGTGGAGAGAGGCCAGGTATGTGCTGGTATTTGATCTGATCCAGCCAGACGACGTTTAGCCTGCCGGACAATGAGGGGCAGTTTCCATCCCCTACCAACGTGGAGGTCACTCTGAGGTTGCTAGTGGGTCCAGAAACAACAGGGGGGATGGAGTGAGTGATCCCTGCAGTTTGCTGGCTAGCCAACCCAGAGCGGGCGGGGCTGTGGAAGCCATGCTCAGACTAGGCACCCCACCCGTCGTCTCTTCTTGCAGTAGCAAGGCGTGTTAGTTGATGAGGACTAACACAAGGGGACATATAAACCAATGTTTTTATATGTTCGTATTTGGGAGTTACACATTTTGAGTGTAAGTCGGTTGGCTGGCAGACCTGCTGTCAGACCTACTGTCTGTAACGAGCCGTCCGTTCACTTTGAACCTGACTTACAGCCAGGCCTCTGGTTGGTCCTCGCGACCACAGCGTGACTGCTAGTGGAGTGCTCATTGGCGAGACGGCGTGTCACGTGATACAAGCAAATGCGTTGTGCCGTCACGCAGTGTGGCGTGACGAAGTTTTGAGAGTATACCCGGAGAGCCGGATGTGTAGAGCTCACTTCTTAGTTGCCCCTTAATCACTTTAAGGGATTCGAATTAACGGTAGCCAGTCTTACTGAGCACTACCAGTTGTGATTAGACACGTCGTGTGATCTATAATCACGTTAATCGATTAGAGCGAACACTTGGAGGTTTTTATCTGTTGACGTTCACTTTGTATTACTTTTCCTTTTAATTAATTATTCATTTTAATATACTCGTTTCATTTCTACCTTACGGTACGCCCTGCCGTTCGTGCTTCGTGACTAGAGCTTGACTAGCATACACTAAATACCAAGAAACTCCGTTTTCTATATGACACCACTTTATGGTTAGACGGGTTCCTGCAAGTTCAAATAAAGAGTGGGAGTTAGTAAAAGTAAAATGTTAATGTTGACAACAGGATAGGGCTCCGATATACTGTAATGAGGTTTAGCCAGAATGTCACGGCCTTCGTATATCACGTACAACACCCGAATGATGAAAATATTTTAACACTAGTGTAACCCGGCCTACGGCCGGGATTTCACTGCCGCAGTTAAAAAGGGTAGGAGTAATTACCCGCTGAGTCAAAATCCGCATTAGGTGACCCAATAGTTTCTTAAACAATAATCTCATAATCAGTTATTTCTTGTGGATATTTAAGTCATTATTAGCCATGAGGCACCACACTCCATGATCATAAGGTATGAACACCGCGACCGAGTATTACACCTTATCACTCCCGTCTTGAACCGCTTTCTATTTTTAT